GAGATGCAGGCCACGGTCCAGGGTTACTCAAGCCCCGGACAAAACCTGAAGCAGAACCCAAAACCTGAACAAGGCGTGAGCCGGACTTAAAGGCCCTGCCTTCTCCTATACATCCCCTGACATTCGCTCAAGAAGGTTTGTCAGAGAAAGGGCATGCCAACCCATGCACCTCCAGTATCTGCACACTTGCCCGCAGTTTAGGGGTTTAGGGTTTAGGCGATACCTCGGTTCGCTTTTTCCTGAGCGAAAGCCAGCGGATTGATGTGAACATAATAGTTTCCATTCTCTTTTCCATTTGTAACCCCAATATAACTCTTATGTAACCCCTATAAGCCCCATAATCCCAGTTTCCATCTAATTTGCCATGTTTTCCATTTGATTCTCCATTATTGGAGGATAATATCCCTAAACCCTAAACTCTATTACAATAGTTTCCATTATATTTTCCATTACCCCAATACTACCCCTACATAACCCCCTATAAAACCCTATATAAGCCTCTATAAAACCCTATAAAACCCGTATAAAACCCTATATAATCCCCTATATATGCTACAGGAAGGACATCCCCGAAACCATTACCCGAGGCACTGCTGCCAGCGCCAGCACTGCGCCCAGAGCCAGGATGAGGTAGCGCTTGGAGGACTCACAGGGAGTCAGTGTGGGTTTAGGGTTTAGGGTTTAGGGTTTAGGGCTAAGGGTTTAGGGTTTTCAGCTTGAACCTCTAGTTAGCATTCGAACGCCTTCAAGTTTAGGGTTCAAGGCCTGCGTGGAGGTTCAGCGCCTTGGCGCGACTGCTTGCACCGAAAGAGAGATATGGGATTTCCAAAAATCAAGAGTCCCCTTTTGGAGTCCCCCAGAATAAGGATCACAGTATATTGGGGTCCATATCGGAGTCTCCCCTTTAGATGGAAACTACCTCATATAAGGCTTCGTGTTGGCTTCAGACCCTAAAGCCTAAATAGCAGCTTCCATTCTATTTTCCATTATCCCAATATAACCCCAATATAACCTCAATATAACCCCAATATAACGGCAATATAACCCTAATACAACCCTACTATGACCCTAACACAACCCTAGCATAACCCTACATTAGCCCTAATATTACTCCAATGGGAACCCCTAAACCCTAAACCCTTAAACCCTAAACCTTAAACCCTAAACCCGTAAACCCCAAACCTTAAACCATAAACCCTAAACCGTAGCGCTGTTAGCTTTAACTGTCTGCTTGCTCAGCCTTCTTGCCGTCCTTTGGGCTGCCCTGCACGTCCTTCCGATCCGCTACCTGCATGGTGTAGGGTTTAGGTTATAGTATAATATAGGGTCATATAGAGATAGTGGAAAAGAAAATGGAAACTACTATTTAGGGCTTAGGGTTTAGGGTGTAAGGACTCAGGGCTACCGGCTGGAATCCAATCAGATCTTTGGGTTTAGAGTTCAGGGAGGCCTTTGGTTAGGGCTGTGAGCTCGGAGCCAACTCAGGTAAGATGAACTATCTCAAAATCAGACCTTTTCTCAATAGGAACCTTCTCAGTGGCAATCTAGATGATGCTGGGAGCCCTTCCCTGAACGGCCGTACTAAGGAGCCCATTTTGAGTACCAAGAATCCAGTCAGAATCCAAGTTGAGTTGTCACGGTCAGCTTAACTTCACACTTTGTATTATTGCACGCCGGTTGACGTGGAACAAAGGCTCCTATGGAGATTTCCTGATGCTGGCAACTCACCAATCCCACTCATGCAGCTTCTACTTTGTACTGACTGTTGGAGCTCCTCTGCAAGTCATCCGAAAGATAGCGCTTTGCCTTGTACATGGTACAGTTGGCATATACATATACCCTAACAGGGAGCAGCATGCTTGCGTCTCCAATGATAGTGTGTCACTGCTGCCATTGCTATCCTGAGCACTGGTATCAATATCTTGGTGGCCCTTATGTGGAGGTAACGAAAGCACAAAGGCAGGAAAATCAAACAGCTGGAGGATAGACGAAAGAGCCTGTACTCATGCAAAAATATCCAAGCAAAAATGATGGCTACATACGATATTCTTACTTCTTCCTGAGCCATGTGACTATTTGTACACATATTCTACTACTACTATTGCCACCACCTGCACCAGCCCCAGCATTAGCCAGCAGCACCAGCACCAGCACCAGCACCAGCACCAGCACCATCACCGCCACCACCACTACCACCACTGCCACCACCGCCAGCATTATCATTGCCATTGCCGTTACCACAACCATTCTCATGATCATTGCGATGTACCATTACCATTGACACCACCACCGCCACAACGACAAAATACCACTTGACCACTATCGCTGCCACAGACATAATTGCTATTGTTACCGCCAATATGAGAACTCGTTTTGCCCTTGTACCGCCCTTCTTGTTGCCATGACCCCCACGCCTCTGCGGCCATCTCGCGAGGAGCCGTGCCCGTCATTGGGAGAGAGGGTGACTGTGATAATGCAGACTCAAGGCTGGAAAATTGGCCTCAAGAGCTCCACAAGCCTCAAGTCATCCTCGGAATTTAGTATTGATGAGGGTCTTGGAGGTCAACATCTTGAGGGTTTTACTTCCGTGTGGAGAGCAAAGTCTTTTTGGGGAAACACATGTTCAGGCCACTGGCCTCGTGCTGCATACTGTACTGTGACAAGTTTCGAGTTCAAACATTGCGGATGCTCTGCCTTCTGCCATGACAGACTGTCTCATGTTGATATCAAGGTGCCTCGGGATATCAGAAGAACCGGCTATGGTGCTGCTGCTCATGCTGATGATGAGGAGGATACTCTTAACATCATCATCTCCATGTCCAGGACGCAAGCCCAACTTATAGCGGCAGAAAAATTGAAAATCATGAGAATCAGGCTTAGAGTTGTGTAAGGCTCTCTCAGAGTAGGGATACCTTGAAAATTTTGCGGAGCATGACCAATTTCCAAGGCCAACCCTTGGAAACCTAGCACAAGCGTCCCGTGTCACAAAGCAGCGCCTTCGGCCCGCTTTGAATTGAGCTTGGACTGCTCTTGCTTGACGACAGGCGCCTATCACGAGAGATGCAAACCACGTCATGCCAGCACAGCCAACCATGCAAAGTAGCTTTGACAGCTGTGCGTTTGGCAGCACAGATTTGGTTCGTGAAAAGCTCGGGACCATGTACTCGGCTCACCAGGCTTCTCCGTCGAAAGACTGCTCGTAATTAGATCAGTTTCTGTTAAGGAATGTAACTTAGGTTACCATAACAAGAAAAGCCTGGTATTTACGATGTACCCATATTATGGTAACTTAATTCAACCTCCTTGACAGCAGCCCAATTAAGCGAGATAAGGCAGAATGTGCCAGATGGTGTCTGCGCTGGCTGTCAAACACTCACAGTCAGTCCATGATACTATGCATTGACAACGAAGGACGTAAGATCTAATCAGTCCTGGATGACATACTCAAGCCCTCTAGGCGGTCTAAACAGAATTGGATGGTGGATTTGATGTCCATCACCCTCCATTTCTGAGTCAAAAGGCAATGCTGTATTGCAGTCCGATCAGCTCACCTGAACGAACCCAGACAGCAGGTCTTGGGGTTTGGGGCTGAGGGCTTAGCCTCTGTACTACGCAGTGAGTTCTGTGAACCCATCAAGGGATCGCTGTTTCGGTGGTTCGCAAAACACATACTGGGTTGGCGGCGGAGTGCTTGCTGAAGCAGAGCCGCAACCCTAAACCCTGAACCCTTGCTTTTGCATTCCCTTAAAGGGTAGTTTCCATATACAGGGGTAGACCCCAAAAAAAGCCCGTGATGTCTAGACGCTTAGAGATCCCAATGTAATTCTTTGGTCCAACCTTTTTTAGACGGGGTGGCCTCCTGCATCAACTTTGCCATGGAGGAGACCATGGCAAGCGTTCGCAGCCACAGCGCAGGGGCATGCAGCCAATTACAGGTAGTAAGCTTTAGGGTTTAAGATCCAGGGTTTAGGATTTAGAGTTTAGCGTTTAGAGTTTTGGGGTTAAGGGTTTAGGGTTTGGGGTCCAAATGCCTCATAGGTCCAGTCAAGTAATGAGAATTTGCGACAACGCGGGGACCCTCTTGGGTGGTGCCTACCTGAGATGGTTGTCTGGTTGCAGCACGGCTCCCTGTCTTCATGATATGCCGCCTGAATTCTATTTCGGTTCAAGGAACAGACTGGCAAAGCTATGATATTGCCTTGGGGTTATGCGCCCTGGCATGGTGCGTTGAAGATAGACACGCGCTGGATGGATTTGTTCTGCGAGTCAGTCTTTTAACATACAGGTGGGACAAGAACCGCTTTGTGCATCAATGAATTTCGTCAGATAGTTGACATCATCTTCCAGACCCCTTCCCAAATCTGCACTTTCCCAGAATTAGTATTCCTGTGTTGTCCCTGGTAGCACTCGGTGCCGTCCTTTCAGGATACCCAAGCAGAACCCAATGACTTAACCCTCCTCCCTAAACCCTACATAGAAGCTTCCATTTTCTGTTCTATTATCCTTTTAATCCCGATATATCCCTATATAATCCCCATATATCCCCAACATAGAAGCTTCCATTTTCTGTTCTATCATCCTTTTGATCCCTATATATCCATTAATATAATCCCCATATATCCTTTACTGAACCGAAGCGAGGTTAAGAGGCGCTCTCAGACCTGAAAGCTTGGATGATGTCCACTGGGTTTGCTCAACATGGTCGCTGTACTTGGGTGGTTCCCAAAACTGGTGTCCCGTTTTGGTACCCCTAGACAATAGGTGCCATAATATCATCTATAACCAAAAGTGGCCCATAATTTTGAGAACAACCTACATTTTGAGGGTGAAAACGAACTTAGCAAAGTTTCGTAGATGGGTGGCCCCCAAATATTAGAATCTTAACTATGAACGGGAGCATCTATTTTGATGGAGCGACTCATCTGAGCTCCGCCTACTTCAGTATCGAAAGCAATGTCCGATGCAGACGACATTCGCAGCCCGGGTTTTCTTCGATAGCGCTAAGTTTCGTAGAGGTAGGCCATTGTTCCAAGACCTCCGACGAGAAATGCTCAAATGCAATTCACTTGTTGGCTCAGATGCTCAGAACTCAAATGCAACGGTCGCGTGTTGATTCCTTAAGGTTACTCGAGAACCTTGTTTCAAGCCTGCAACTTGAGATCAAGAAGCTGAGGGGAAAATACAGGGCTGCTGTTAAGGGACTTAAATTAAATTACCATAATGGGTATATATAGTAAATAATAGGGTTTCCCCAATATAGTAACTTAATTTAAGTTCCTTCACAGCAACCCAGAATAAGGTATCTGATTATTGCTCAGACCACTGAGTCTGCAGCGAATACTTATTCCCCTTAATAATGGAGAATCAAATGGAAAAGAAAATGGAAAATGAAATGGAAACTACCATAATGGGGCTATATAGGGTTTGGGGTTTAGGGATACTATCCATCCATAATGGAGAATCAAATGGAAAAGAATGAAAAGGAAACTGCTATATTTAGGGTTATGTAGGGAATTATTGGGGGCTGTAGTCTAAATCAAATCCAATCACTGGACAAGCCCAGCCAGACTCTGCAGAGGTATCCACTGCACACTTCAGAGCTGGCCTAAAAACCGCTGAGGATTTTTTGGCATTGGATTGTGCAATAAGATTAACATGGCAACAATCATCGTGTCTCTGCTACTACTCGCATAGCTTTGCCTCTGGGACGCGTCCAGGACATGGGCAGCATCAGCCTGATGCACCGGAAGTGAGCACAAGCTGGTAAAGCTGGGCGAGCTCAGAGTCATAGCCAGTAGACGCTCAGCATCAGGGATTCTGTGCTTGATCCCTCATTGCAGCAAGGCGGTGATACAGCTGCAAAACAAGGCAGACAACATGAATAGTAGAATTACTAAAGAAAGACAACTTGACTTGATCTTTCACAATATCAATCTTGAGACGAGACTAGCTTGAATAACTTCCAACAGTTGTGGTCTGGTCCCTCACCCTATGCCGAGGCATCCACACTTTTGTATGCTTGAAAAATGACAAGCGCTGCAGCTGCAGCCATAAAGACCAAGAGTGACAAGAACAGAGACAAAATCCACTGGTATTGAGCCTCTACGAATCCATACACCTGTAGTGTCAGATCTGCGTCTCAGACCTGAAAAATCCCAACGACCGTCTGAGGGAATCCGTAGTTTTCTCAATTTCTCCCCAGTTGCAATCGCGCTTTGCACCACCTGCTGCTCCAAGTATCCCTACTCCATGCCCAAAATCCCAAATCCCCAAAATCGCAATCAATGGAGGCCAAAGGGCTCCCCAACTTTCCGAAGGTAGGGCAGCGGCTGCAAGGAGGCCTTTGATCAAGGCCGGCTTTAACATATTAGGGTTTAGGGTTTAAGGGTATAGGGACCATATTGGGGTTATATGGGGATAATGGAAAAGAAAATGGAAACTACAATAATGGGGCTATATAGGGTTTAGGGCTCTTGCATTGCACATCAGTACATCCATGACAAATGACTTAGGAAGGCATGTACCTGAGCCTTGTCGCTCTGCCTCTCCTTTCTCTCTTCTTCCTTTGCTGTGCAAGGCGCCAAGAAGCCCTGAGGAGGCCGATTTTAGCGAGACCATGCGACTCCGGTATTTGGGATTGCGCAGAGATGTTGTGGGATTCTATGCAGCAGAACTCCTAGATTCTGAGGCGTCGTGTCCCTCCCAAACTTGGATCCTTCGTCTTTGGACCACCAAAAACCGAAACCCCAACATAAAGCATTACTGCGGGGCACGCTTCGAACAAGGTGCCCACATGAATACGCAGGTGCATCTAAAGAATTATTTTCTTCGAGCATGCGCACCGTAAAGCCGATATTGCACAAGAAGTGTAACGTTTCCCTGCCCCCCCTCAACTGTCTTCCTTGCAGCACTGCAAATGCGCTGCAAGAATATTGATACTCTGCTGTTGGGCACTCCAGGGATACTCTGCGGTTGGGCACTGCAGGGATACTTTTCGGTTGGGCCCTGCAGGGAT